AAATGACAAAAATTTGTCAAGGGTGACGACGGTGACGGAAGGGATGTTGTGGCTGCGGCATCAAGGCTGGATAGCAGTGGGGTGCGTATGAGTGTGAGTGCGTATGAGTGCGAGTGCGAGTGTGAGTGAGACGAGTGATGGCAACAAACGTGGGGTAGGTGACAAGCGCAAATTGGTGAGATTGAGGTGTCTCGGGGGTCGGTCGAACACGAGTGCAGATCGCAGGATGATAACCAGTGAAGATTCAAAGTGATTCACTGGTAGGCAGTGCAAGTTGGCGCAGCTGGCTTCTTTGTTCGATTCACTGGCGACGAGTGACGAGTGGGGAGGCTCAGTCACTGCGTGGTGAGAAGAGAACCGTGACTAAAGGTAAAGCGCGGCGAAAGCAACTTGAACTCAGTAACACAGTCCAAAGGTGAGTGTGGTGCATTGCAGTGCAGTGCAGTGCAGTCCCGAGGCACCCGGCGGGAGGACCGGACTCTTGTTGAGAGGGAGACCCGTCTCTTTAATCCCCCTTCCTTTTCGGCCGACTCAAGCGAATCCCAAGTCATCGGGACCCGTCAGTGGGAGCTGCGCCAAGAGAGCCGCCAAGCGGCGCCGTGCGGCTTGGCGACGGCAGTCGGGAGAAAGCAGCCCAACGCTCTGGCGCGATAGACGACGCCCAGCCGCGCCAAGTTGGCTTGGACGACGCCGGCCGGAGGGGGCGCTGTCAGCTGGGAGGAAAATGCTCCAAAGACGCACCAAATCGCACCTAGATGGCCCTAACCCAGGTCGACAGGGCGGGGAAGCAGCCTCCTTTCTGGGTCTGGTTCCGGAGCTTGAGAGGTACGGGTGAGCTACGGAGATTTACAGAGATTTAGAGAGATTTAGGCACCACACAGCCTGCTTACACTCGACCACACCGTCTCTGGGCATCTGGGCACCTTGGCGGCGTCCTTCGAATTGCCTGCCCTTGCTCCGAAATATAGTCCATCGATTGCTGCTGAAGAGGGGACGGCGATCACCCCGCCCATTCCTCGGCCCTTCTAGACACTGATAAGAAAGACAAAAGAGACTGTCTTGTGCGTGTCTGTCACCGTCATTCCAGTGGCAGCCCTAGCACCTTGGCGACGGCGATCCCTGCCTCCCGCGCCAGCTCAGCGCCAGACCGCAAAACCTGCCTTGGTCATGGGATTGGCCCTGCAAAGCAAAAATGCAAACAGCGGCAAATGGATGGGAAAGAGCGATGCGACGTGGAAGCCAGAGCAAACCCAACCATTTCATGGATGTCCAGGCGAATCGGATACCCGCCTCCAGCCCGCCAAGCTGAGATTCAACTCGTCATCTGTGAGACGTGATTTTTTCTGTGTCTCCAGAGAGGCAGAGGCAGCAAAGGCAGCGCTGCGATGCACCGCCTCCAGCGCATTGACAGGGCCAAAAATGGCCCAAAGGATACATCGGGAGAGCTGCCAAGTCACATCCTATCCTCTTTAATTAGAATGCATTACACCCGCGACCTCCCAATCTCAAAGACTCTTGCATCGACTCCGACACGACATTTCAAGCTTTTCCAAGCGTCCCGCCAAGAATTCCGACAAATTGTTACGGAATGGCACAAGCTAGTTCCTGCTAATTGTGTACTACTACAAGCTCCTTGCGGCCCTACTGCTGGATATTCGGCCTAAAACTGGGCATAGTAATCGAGGGGAAGCAACCCGACTCTGTCTCAGGCGCCAATTCAACTCGTGGCAGCCTAGCCCGGTCTCAACCGAGAGTGGTTCTGTATCGTGAAACCACCCATGTGTAAAAACTTCAACCACCGTGTGCGACAGCAAAACTGCGAATAGCGTCAAGCTTCCCCGCAGTCTACCACCGATCGCCGATGAGATCACTGTTTTCCGCACTTTAGTGAGTTGCGGGGGAGCCATGGGTCTGGTTATTGGAGTACGACGTGCAGCAAGACAGCCACCGGAGCACTGCAGTACGGTAGCCACCTTTGATGGGTGGGTAAGGACATCGCGACAGCCCCAACTTGAAGACTGAGTCGGCCAGGGTATTACGTAAAGGAGGGCGTCTCGGGACGAAGACTACCTGATGTCATGGTATGAACCACAAATCGGAACTGGCACTTGGCATCCGTCTCTATCCCTCGGGTTTACCAAGCAGTCCTACTTGATGTCCTTTTCTAAGGTGAGCAAATGATTCATAGAGTTTCCACTAAATAGTACCGTAACAGGCTTTGGGATATAATCGTGGTTTCTACTACTTGGAGAAACGCCAGCAATGTGGATACAACTTATCAACAATGAGACCATTTCTTCCCAACTCAAACCCATGTCCTCTTTGCTCGAGGCCTACTATAAAGTAACTAAGCGAAGTACAGACTCAGTCAGCAAATTTGGTGAATCATGAGTCGTTAAGCGTGGGGTACAGTCCCAACCCTGGCCCCAAATCCTTGCCCAAAGTCAATGCTGTTACGTCAACGGGACATGATCACGCCGTTCATACCATGTCTCAGAGGAAGAGATTTCAAACTTATTTTCAACGACTTTCTACATCTAATTATTTCACAGTGCCAAAGCCCCCACAACAGCCGCCCACCCAGCCACCACCCCCACCCTAATCACCACCCCCGCCGCCGCCCCGGGTTTACTCGCACTCGGCCCCGCCGCCCCGGTCCCAGTCGCGCCACCCCCACCACCACCCGCATTCGCCGCCTCTGCCGTTGGCGGGTACGTCTGCCCGGTGGTCTCACACGTCGCAGTGGGCGTCTCGGACGTGACAACCCCGCACGTGAACACGCGCGGATCGACGCACTGGCTCATCGGCTCGATCTCGTACCCCGGCGACACGCCCTGCACGGTGTCGTCCTTAAGGTAGACGTCGCACACGGTCGTCGTCACGGCCTGCCCGCCCAGGTTGGTGCTCTTGGTGCTGACCCAGGTCGAGACCAGCATGGCCTGCTCGGACTCGGTCGCCTGGTCGGCGGCGCCGGGGATCTGGCGGTCGAGCAGGGCCGGGTTGACCGTCTGGCGGGTCGTGTACTCGTACGAGGTCAGGGTGCAAGTGGCCGGGTTGGCGATGGTCATGGGGTGCCAGTATTGCGTTGTGATGCTGCCCGTGCGCGCGAAGGTGGGCGTGGGCGAGCAGGCCGAGAAGCCGGTCGATATGCAGAGGCCGGTTTCGTCGGCGCCGTAGAAGAGGTCGGTCACCGTGACCAGGTAGGTGTGGGTTGAGAGGAAGAAGGCGCCGGCGGCGGGGGTCGTGATGAGGGTGGTGGAGATGTTGGTCGAGATGGGGGATGGAGCGCCGGCTGTGGGGAAGACGGGGATGGATGAGGTAAAGAGCTTTTTGCTCGTGGTTGTGATCACCTTGGTCTGCCAGTGGTCGACGCGAGACCATGCTGCTGCCGAGCTCACACAGAGCAGGGATGTGAGGATGGACGTCGGCTTCATTTTGACCGAGTTGTTGTGCGTTGGTTCAAAAGAATGACTGTGGCGCCCTTGTAAAAGAAGGACGGAGAGAGTGTCTGGGCTCCCAGCGGTGATTGCAGAGCCCTGCTTTTGTCGTCCTGTTTATACTCCAAAGCGTTGCGGCAACTTTGACATCGCGCTTATACCCCTTTGGCATTCTCGATACAATAGCCGCTATTGATTCAGCCTCATCCACATTAGGGGGAGAGGTCCCCTGATGTCCGAGGTGCTTTGATTTTGTGGCTGAAACTCTTCCAATCAGAGCTAGCAATTGAGCCTCCTGATGCCAACGGCCAGTGCCGCCCCCAACAAATCAGCCACTCCCGACGCGCCCTGAGAATCTAGACTCTCAGGGGCAGGGGCCGACAGCAAGAGCTGAAAGCATTCGTCGCATCGCGCAGCCACGGCCGCTGAAGACTTGCCTGGTGTTCCCTAAAACGCCTACCTCTGTGCATGAGCGCTGTCTCTATGCAGGGGGAGGCGCGTGTCAATTCTGCCTCGGGTGGTGTTTCGAGGTGAAGCGCACTTCTGTTGATTCTTTTCAGCAACGAGCAATCGCTGGAATAAACTAAGTACGGTAGGCCATGACTTTTTACCGCTCATGACTGCCATACGAGCATTCCTGAAAAAGGCTCCCGACGTCTTGGTTCTCTATTATGCACCTCCTCCCTGATGAACAAGACACCCCATCGCGAACAAGACTCCAACAAGCGTAATCAAAAGGCACCAGCCCTTGCAGCAGAGGTTGGTCGGGCTTGTTTTGAGTGCGCAGTAACCGAATACTTTGACTCGGTCCCTGTTGTTGAAGAGGAATTGAAACTTGAAATTCCATCAGACAAGACGTCTTTGGGGTGTGAGGGAGGAGCCTACCTGAGAAAGACTGACGCGGGTATAGCACCGCCATGAAAATAATCGCTGCAGGCGATTCCCCCGAGCACAGCTCAACACCCGTCGGGCCTCGGTAAAAAGCGCATAGTCATCAGCCATGGAGTAGATGGAGACAATGGTACTGACTTTCGTTTCTGTGGCGCTCATCCAACAACTGGGCACAGGCGTGGGAGGGTGGGATGAGGCCGTCCGGCCACCTAGCCCCGCTGCAGACTTGCTCCAGGCCGTAGCGGTCCTGGACAGCCACCTTGAGATGTAGGAGGCTTTGCTCTGGCCTGTTGCACTTGTTGCCGATGTTGATGCTGTACTCGCGGAAGTCCTTATAGGGTACTTCGCCACGATGGGAGGATGGTGTTACTGGCACCGACCAAACCCTTCCTCCAGCGTTGGGCGGCGTCTGAGTGAAGAATGATAGCCTGCGTCCTCCATACTGGAAGAAGAAGAAAAAAAGACAGCTTCTTCTCTTGCCCCGCCAGATCGGAGCTACTCACTGTCCAGGTCGGTCTTGTGGCGCCTTGGGGGAGTGGTCTAGTTACTGGAGGTAGAGGCCACCAGTCGACATTGGATCCCAGTTTCTGCTCGACCCACATCCTCAACCCTTCCAAGCTCAGGTTTGCTTTATAGCGCTCACGTCTCCGGAATACTTCTTAGCACTGAATCACCCCTGTGGTATAGTGGCAGCACACTTGCTTTGGGTGCAAGTGGTCCTGGGCTCGAGACTCAGCAAGGCCCAACGTTAACCTTTTGGCTTTGTTACCGAGGTTTTGTGCGCGAATTGGCCCAACCTATTTGTTGTCTATTTTAAGCTGACGATGTGGAAGGATTCCACAAATTGGGGTGTGGTGCGTCCGCGATTAGAAAACGGGCAGGTGCACGCGCGTAGCGAATTCCTATGCTCGCTGCCGCCCTTGGTGCGGTCCTAACCGTTCTCGGCACCAGCTATGATCTCGTCACCAAGTGTGGTGACGGCACTAAGGGCATGCTGTGCTGTGCCATGGGTATGTGTAACATCTTCTACTACGCTTGCAAGGGTTGTAAGTTCTGTTCTTTTTCCCTCCTAAGACCCTGTCAGATAAGGTCTAATACTAACATCCCCTTTAAGACTGCCACAAGAAGCACACTGATGAAGTCCCCGACGAGCTTCTATGAGGATAGCTTCACCACTGCCGTCGTGGGTGGAGTTCATCAGGGAGTACCAACATGGTCTCGGTTAACTTTAGAGACGAATAATCAAGGGTGCTGACACTTCTTTGTTCCAAGCCGCGATACCGACGGTGATGGTGCCGTGACCGAGCACGAGGTCGTGAAGATGGTGGACTAAAAGTGGAAGTGTCGAATGTTGAGTGCCACCTTAATTAAGGAGGACTTCTGTATGTGACCCTCGGCCGCTCTGCTCTAGGGTGAGCATCCACAGGTGAGCCTGGCCTGCACAGCCGCGTGGCCCAATTTTGCTGCCTCGACTAAGGTTGCTATGCGGCGCCCAAAAAGAATAAAGAAAAAAAGAAAAAAAAGAGATTCCAGTAATAATACCTCACGAGAGAGCAAATAACTTACACGGCCACCCACCTGTTTCTGTTGTTGAGTTTTGTTTGTTCGTTCGTTCGTTACCAGGCTTCCAGGGCCAAGACAACGAAGAAGTAGCGCAAGCCATCGGCCAAAACCATGCCCGAGGGATGTTTTCGGGAGGTACCATGGTCAAACGGTGGGCGTGAACTGCGGTACAGCTTCCCCGGCCTCCAATTTACATCTCCACTGTATGCCGTAAATCTCTCATCCACAGCCTGGGCGCTCAGCTTTTCTGACGACGGCCAGATGACCAGGATGGTGATGACCCAGCCAAAGAGCTCGAGACCGAGCTGACAAATCGGCGTTCTGTGAATCTAGTACACTGTGCTCTTCACGATAGTAACGGTCGCCTCCTCAGCGGTGAGGTCAAGCAGCTGTTCCCGGACACGAAAAACCGGTCGGCGGCGTTTACAGCAATGCACAGGTACGCGCTGGACGCCTTCTCGGACAACAAGCTCGTCCTGTGGACTTTGAACAACCAGAGACTGGTGATTTCCGTCTTGATTCTCGTGCCCCCCTGCCACAAGCTTTGCAATGTGTTTCAACGCCAGTAGCGCACTTCGACCATCCCAGTGATAAGCCTGAAAGCCTGGAAGTGCGCATGTGGCCAAGATCGCTCGCCCCTATTTCTCGGATGCACTTTGGGAGGATTTCCTCTCGCATTTACGGCTTCTCAAGGCTCTTTCTCTCTACAATGACACTCAGTGTCGTATCCTACGCGTCTACTCATACATCAACAAAGACAACTGTTGGAGGTGGTGCCCCACCTCGAGGGTACAGGGCGCACACGCCACCTCGCCTGGCTAGTGCCCTTTGGGCCACACCTAGATAGTTGTTGCAGGCCAGGGGAAATCCTGGCCCGCAACACCACACAATCGATCACCGTTTCCCATTGCTCTGTTTTGCCCACAACAACACAGCATGGTGGGACGCAAATACCGCATTGCTTCCTCCCAACTCGGACTTCCCTCTCCCGTCTCAGGCCCTGATCACAGAACGCATTCTTCCTCTGCCGAAAATCATCCGCCATGTCCTGATCGACAAATTGTGTCCAGAGGCACTACGGGAGTCTGCGAAAGCTTCACCTCTAAATAACAATTGTCTGGCTCGTATGTACCTTGGTCGTCGTCGAACCCCTAACGCTCCACCTACGCCCAACTTCTCTCTACGAAACTTCAACTTCTGTCTTGATCAAATGCTCGAACTCGGATTTCCGGTGCAGGATTATGCAAGAGAAATGGCTGCGTGTCTTGCTACCCTTCATTGGTATGCTCGTATGGACAGCTTCGACATTCAGTTTGCCCTGGGAAGCGATGCTGAGCTTTCTTACACCACCCACGTTGCTCAGTCACTCGGAATGGATGTTGAGCAGCTTGAGAAGCTACCGAAGCACTCCAATATTGAGGTTTTGCAGCGTCTAAACTTCCAGAGACGTGTGGTTCGTCTCTAGGTTCTAGACTTCAACCTCTGCAACAGATTGCCTATGGATGATGCCTTCATCCTCGAGCATGAGAAAGAGATTCTCAGTCAGCTCGTCCTTGCATTCTTTGGGAATGACCCCTACTATCCCTTACCGTTGATGGAAATGGATGTGGACAGGCAACTCTGGTCTATTTTCCGACAGGAGTATGAGAAAAAGGCGGCAGAAATTCTGAGTGCATTGGAGGCTCTGAAACATCTCCCACTGAAGTTCTTAGATGCCTGCGTGGAGAGGAAATAGAGGAAGTTGGAGAAGGGGCTGGGTCATGGGCATCGAGACTTCAAAGGATAAAGTATTGGAGTCGATGAACAGCAAGTAGCTATGTTTAGCCTAGCCCACGATAAGATCACCATTATCTAGTGTTGTTAACGTGCGCATGGTTACTATGCTGTGGAGAATCTCAATCTAGTTTTCGGGTGCGGATTCGGGCTCAACCGTCAGTCGCCGATTTGAATACCTCGGGTGAAAGCAGAGACCGGTCACCGTTACAAAACCCATAGCCCTATAAATACTAGCTACACCATGCACATACAGATTTCACACCCCGGAACAAGCTGTAGGTAGTACTATAAGCCACTGCTACTGTAGGCCTATAAGCACTACATATAGCCTATTATCTTAATAACTATCTTAGTTTTTATGCCATGATTGTTACGGCCCGTACCTAGCTGATAGGTTAGGACGAGTTGCGGGTGTTGTGTCACGTGAGGGCAAGCCGGGGCGTGAGGCAGCACCACTCAGGTAATGGCCAGAAGGGCCATAGGTTGGAGGCAAGCTCTGTTGGATGGGGTTGAATACACTTAGGGTGAGCAATGTCACGTGTGCAAGGTTCGAAAAAGGAAATTTTGTGTGCCCAGATTCGTCTTTACACTGCCCGCCACCCCCTATGTAAAAATTAAGATGATACCCGCGCGTCTACGCGGCAGTAGTAGGAGCGGCTGCCTTCTACTACTTTCTGGGCCTTGTTTCTCCTTTCCAGTTATATATTACACGGGAATCCCCCGGCAGTGCTTGGGGGATTCCCGTTACTGCCCCCCTGCCATTATTCCTATCAACGTGCCCCCATCCCCGTGAAACCTGTCTGTGGGATTCAGCCGTGACATCTGGTTAGCTCCGCAGACGAGATGCCCGGGCTGCCGAACCCCCTTATTTCTGGCACCTTCTAGCAGATGACACAAACCATACACATACCTAGGATACATGTAAATCTATAATTGGACTTGTTGCCTAGGAGCCTTTCTCACCTATTACGCGTCATCTACATTCCGTCGAAAGGCAACTTTAGCTAGGCAGTAAGCCCGCTGGAGTCTGCTAGCCGACGCCAAATTAACAGACATACATGCTGAAGATGCAGTCGAAGCCTGTTTCGCTCCACTCAGACGTCGGCCCCGGCTCGTATTACCACCGAGAGTTGGTTTTTTGGTTTATTTCCTATTTTTATTGTACTTGGGCACATCATCCTACTTCATTTTCTTCCCGCTGTGGGCTGTTTTAAGCTCAGTAACCTGTAGCGAAGACAGAACCATGCAGCTTTCAACGTCATCACAGCTTCTCGCATTTTCATCGTCGTATAGAGATTATACCAACATGCTGGCCTACGGTGCGAGACCTTGAATGAAGGAAGGGGGGCCGGTGTTAGAAAAGAGGCTGCAAGTGATGGAACGTTTGCTGACTCGCAGTAATGAATTGCCATGTTACGGACTCGACATCAAGGGATCCCCATCCTCTCTTGGAGATAGTCCACAAGCTCGGTTCTGCCATTCTCCTTTGCGATCTCCAGAGCTGTCTTGAGCATGGGACTCCGGGGCTCCGGGTTCGCGCCCGCGTCTAGCAACTGGGCAACAATGTCGAGGCTGCCAACTTGGCACGCCACCATCAGTGGCGTCCAGCCGACCTTGTACGTCCGCTCGATGCGCTGCTGCGATCCCGTGACGGCTGGGGGGTCCTCCACGACGGCGACGCACCTAGCCTCGCCCTCGCCCTCGCCATTTTCTGTTATTCCCTTGCTCGCAACGAGGGCGGCAGGAGCCGGTTCCGCTCTGGACCATATCGGCTCGGGCGAGCATCCTGCATCGAGGAGGCGGCGCACCACGACGGGAGAGCCGCTCGCGGCGGCGAGCAACATGGCGGTCTCGTCGCGGGCTGAGATCTCGTCAAAGGAAGCGCCGGCGTGGAGCAGGAGGTCGACGGCCTCGATATCGCCGCGATAGGCGGCGTACATGAGCGGCGTCCAGTCGGACTGGGCGCGCACCTCGGGGTCGGCGCCCGCCTCGAGCAGCAAGGCCGTGATTCGCGTCGAGCGCCTGCTCGCGGCCTCGGCCAGCGCGGTCCAGCGGTCCGGCGACAGGTGGTTGACGTCAGCCCCCCGCGACAGGAGAAACGAGACGCACGGCTCGTCCTCGCGCTTGGCGGCCAACATGAGCGGTGTCCAGCCGAGTGGGGATGTGGCGTTGATGTTGGCACCATGCGCGAGCAGTCGATCCATGACGCCGAAGTGGCCTCGGATCGAGCCAAGGAGGAACGGCGAGCACCCGACACCTGCCCCCCCCTCCTCCACGTCGCACCGGGATGGAGCAGTACCCTCGCTGCCTAGGAGGGCCTGAGCCTCGTCCATGTCGCCTTCGTAGGCAGCCCTGCCGAGCGGCGCGAGCGTGTCAGGGTTGATCTGTGGTGACGGACCGGACCG